GAGTACCAAATAGTAGTCTCTCCCCAAACTCCTCTTCCTTCCTTGAATTTCTGCTCCCCATTTTAGCGAAGGTGTCTCTGGTCTCCCAAGTTGCAATTTTCCGTGATAGCTGATGGGATTTGTGTTTTGGGGTTGGTTTCTGTGTATCTTTCCCTGTCTCAGTCTGAGGTCTGTTCCTCCTGTTGTATGTTGGGTTTATCCTGCACCCTTTATGGAAGGTGAGGGGCTCCAGATACTGGCTGAAATAGGCTCTTTTGTGTGAGCTCCTGGATGAGCTAATGAAGCTCCTTCTGACCCAGAAATGAGGGAAGCTATTTTGGAACTTTCCCTGTGAGGTCTTGCACATTCTTGGGAATTTCCTCTGATACCTTCAGGAGATAATTAGTTATCTAATTGTACTCTTTAGGCTGGAAGGAAGGAATATCTCATTATCTTAAATGCCTTTAGGATCAGGTATTCATGGAATTTCTATACTAAAAGGTTGTGATAAAGAGGAGAAACACACAAAAAAAGAAAAGGCAAATTGATAGAATGGAGGAATAATGGGAGTAAAAGAGCAATTCTAGCAAAAAAAAAAAAAATTCTGGCAAATGATCTGAAACAATAGGATAGGCAAATACCAATATTTAATAACTAAAATTATTGTCAACCAAAGCAAAGGGAGGCCCAGATCCCAGGAACAACTTGCCAGTGTCCACCGGAGGAGAAACCAAGATCTGGGCATAAAGGGCCCAGGCCAGTACCTGGTACCAGCCAGGCAACTCCTCCAGAGAAACCAAATCAATTCTGGAGCCCATATTAAATACCAAAATTTGTGACATAAAATAATAATTCTACTTTAAAGGAAACAGGAAAATTGTTTATTTTGAGGCAAATATGAGAGCCCATAGCCTGGGAACACATTATTGATTGAATCCATGTTCCTGTGGTCACTCATATTGGCTTGAATAAACTAGTTTCTTATTATCATTAAATCAGTTATTATTTTATGTCAGCAGAAAGTAGAATGGGGACCTCTTTTCTCCCATGGGTTCTCAGCCCCTTAGTACCTTTGACCTATACCCTCTTCTCCTCTTTTCTTGCCCTCTCTCCCAACAAGTCTTCCAAACCCAGTATCTCTTCATGCTAAAATATACAAGATTAATAATTAAAAGTGATCATTGAAAACTGACCTAGGCATTTTTCATGTTTTCCCCCAATGGTGCCAACTTATCTAATTTGCAAAGTACTCTTCACTTAAGTGAGACTCTTTAGCAATTTCAAGGCAGAGACCAAATATTCTCTCTTAAGCACCTCTAAGAAGAAGTTTCTTCTTGACCAGCATAATCATTTCTAGTCTTTTCCAGAGACTTATTCACAAGCACTTTTTTTTTTTGGGTTTTCATTGTTGTGCTGTTGTTGTTGTAATTGTTTGGTACCAGGGATTGAACCCACTATCACTGAGCCACACCCCTAGCCCTTTATTTTATTTTAAGACAGAGTCTCACCACGTTGCAGAGGCTGGTGTTGAACTTGCCGTCCTCCTGCCCCAGACTCCTCACTCACTGGAATTACAGACAAGCTCCACTACACCTGGCTCATACCACATTTTTGCTGCAGAAAAACTTTATAAAATGATAGTATTTATTATTTTCATCTACAACTAATGGCGAAGTAATAAAACTGTTTGAAAGAGCTATCTGTTCTCTAACGAACACATCACAAACCACTATAACCCAAGGTTTCCTACACTGTAGAGGGGAGAAAACTATGAAATTAGAATTGGAAGGCTTGACTTCTCATTCTACCTGATACTATGTGGACAATTATGTGGCCTTTGTAGTTTGTCTGCCTTAGCTATTCTGTGTATCTCAGGAATTTGTTATGAAAGCTAACAATAGAACAAAGCATCTTATCACATACAAAGCTAAAGAAAACTAAAATCTCAAACTGGCTAAACCAGAACAATAAGTCAATTTGAGCACAATTTGCAGGACTAGATACTACTGGTCTATCTGTACATACATAACAACATCAAACATGCTAGATTCTTCTCTAGACTGGAAAATACTTTCTTTTCAGATCCAGAAAACTTACTTCAGAAATTTCTGCTCTTTAAGGCTTTGTTGATTTTGTAATTTTAACATAGAAACTTTAATATTTTCTACTTTTATTTCTTGTTCTGATGGCTCTGTTTGGTATGCTTCAGGAGAAACAAAATTGATTTTGACACATACAAATAAAAAAACCAAAATGTGGTACCTGATATTTTACAATTAAATATGACCCAATATTATATGAAAGTCTTAATGCAGATAAATGTACTGGAGTATAATATGATTTACACAAAAATAAAGTAAAATCAGGATATATATTAAAGAGAAAGATAATGGTTGGTATACATAGGAAACTTAGAGTCCAAAAATAACTTTTATTATATCCTAAAAGCTATGAACTATAAGGAAGTGTTCAATTTGTATTTATGACTGAAGAAATATTACTTGGACATAAAGTCTAATGCCTTGGAGACATGAGGGTTCACTAATACCCATTTGTTTTTGTGTTCCAGGAACCATCTCTAGAAGCCTCTGCTCTGTTGCATAGTATCCCACTCCCATGATTGTGGTCTAACCCAGGGCCTCACATGCCAGGTAAGCACCCTCCCACTGGGCCACATCTCCAATTCTGCATGCATATTTCTTAAAGTCTGTGGACCACTGACATCTTTGTGCGTCTTCTAGGGACCTTACAGTCCATTTCTTAATTTAAGTATTCAAATCATGTTTATTCTCTTTCTCAAAGTAAAATATATACTTTTCACTTCATTTGGAAACTAAATTAGATAAGAAAAATTTGTTCATGTCCAAAGAAGTCCAAATATTTAATCAGACAAAAGCACCATAATTCTTTTTAAGGTTAATGACATGCAGTAAGTAACAAGTAGATGCTTTGTTCCAACATTTCATCTGCCTGTGCCTTAGAGTCCTCTCACCTAAAAGAAAGATGAATTACTATCGTGGAGTTAGTAATTTGAAGTTAACTCTTTTTCAGTTTTCTGTCATTTGTGAATTTCTGGGGAGGAGGAAGGAAGAAATAAGGAAGGTGATGTGTATTTTGTAATGTGTTTCTTTTACTTTATTAAGTTTTTATTTCCTTTGACACATCCCAATTGGTTTTTTAATTAAAAATGAAAATTTAAATCTAAATTGTAACTTCAAACTTTTATTTTCAAATTAACTTGAGGTTTTGTTATATAATTTGAACTCACCTTAGCACTGTAAGAATAAAAACTGAATCTGTAAACCCTATACCAGGGGAGGGAAATCCCGTTAGGCCAGAATTCTTATGCTCCATAAAACATTCCAACTGCAATTGCACCCTCCCACATGTAAAGGGAAAATTTAGACTAGAACTTTAAAATCCAAACCAGCAAAATATATTAAGTAACTCAGTATGCTTTAGGCAGCTCCACTTTGTAGAAGTTTTATCTAAGTTATTATATAAGAATAGTAAATAATTTAGAGTTGTAATCTAAAATATCACTAAGTACTAAAATAGCTAAGTATAATCTAAATATTTAATTTAAAATAAAATCATCCAAAATATTTAATCTCAAGTATCTAAAATAAAAATATCTCCAAGATGTTTCTTCCTATTTAATCCACTGTAAGTCAGTACAAAACATGCTTTTGCCAACATCATGTTCAATTTTTTTTCAATTTTTAGGATGTAAAATTGTTACCTTTTTGGTTCCTTAATGATTTTGTGATTCTAGGATTTGAATTTTTTAAGAAAGACTCAGAAAAATCTTGGAACAAAGTTGGAGCTAGGAAAAAAATATTATCATCTAGAGAGTTCAGCACAGAAATCAGAAGCTGATGAGCTTTCAAATCATTTCTGTTCTTTTTTATCTTGAGAGAGGAATATAAGGTCTCCATCTTAGCCAAGGCTAGAGACTAAGATCTGAAAAATAAGTGGAATTAGAAAAGGAAGAGGCTTTATAGCCTCTTTGTAGCCTTTTAGTGTCATAATCTGTATACACTGCACCTGGCCCCTGAAGTAGGTATAGAACCAATGAATGGGGTTGGGTGTCACTGAAGACTAGATCTGGATTTTAGGATGAATTGAGAACATGTGTATCACTGTTATTTTTTTTTTTTACTCACCTACGTCTCTGCTGACATTTAATAATTCAATATTTATAACTGTAAAACCAATGTCGTCAACAAAAATAATATCTATAATTATTCTCTTTAACCCAAAGTATGATGACATAATCACCCTAGGGCAATTTGCTCTATGGGGCAGCTCTAGTCAAATCCTATGGTGAACAGTGTTATCACTATATCATCCAAATTAATGTGTAGCTGGCTAAATGCCATCGTTGGCTAACAGATGTTATTTTCCTCAAATAACCTTTGCTTGAATTATTATCTGGCATTTTAATTCTAGTATGTGAATATGTGGAAAATTGAATTATTTCTTTAACCAGACAAGAACACACTTTGTATATAGTCTATATTCTTAAATAATAGGAGTGAACTTAAATCTAAGATAGACCTAATATAGGAAAAAGCATGTTTTTAAAAAATATTGAGTCACTTCAAGGCCAAAAGTAAAAATCATAAGCAATGCATATTTCAAATTTGTAGTCTTTCTTTGATATAAATATGGAGATAGATAGTAACAAATTGATCTACATTTGAGAAGCAAATAAACATTTTTTTTAAAAAAAATGCCTGCTAACTGGGCTTCTGGCCAAGAAGCCCAGGTTAAAGTACAAAGAGGTTGCAGTGTTTGATCAGCCCATGAAGTTTGTTATGATGAACCTGAGTGTGCTTTTTCACAGTGTATTTTTACCTTTGATTATTTAAGAACATTTAAACTAATTGTGCTTTTTGTCTTTTTATTGATCTGTAATCCATATCTCAAATATTTTAATTTTTTTTTCAGCACTGGAGATAGAACCCAGGGCCTCCTCATACATACAAAGTCTTGTCCTGCTGATGAACAACAGCCCCAGCCAGCCCCCTGAAGAACTGAAACTCTATTCTTCTCAACTTTGAACTGGCTACATAAACACCTTCAAAGGACTGTATGTTCCTCGGTCTCTGGACTACTGTGTGAACATATAAAATTCTTATGTATTTTACCTGTATAAACAAAGAAGTTCTTTGCCAGGAAATACCATTGTCAAACACTGTGAGGCTTAAAATAGATAATACATATATAATGTCTAGCATAAAGGCACATAGTAACATAGTAGACAGTAAATGTAAAATGTACAAAAGTGTGTGTGTGTGTATGTGTGTGTGTGTGTCTTAAGTGTTGTGCTGTAATCTCAGATAGTTCTTTCTTTTCTCAAAACATACCAGGATTCCCTAAAATGGTAGTAATGATGATTATGACATTGATCTGAGTTTTTCAAATGAGAAACTTTTGTTTATTTTTCACTGAGAAAATAGTTCCTTATTGGCACATCGGTGATTTGTCATTGTGTGAGCATCACAGAATGTACTTGCACAAACTAAAACTCCTTCCATGTCGTTAGGTGATATACTCTTCTGGTACCAGTTTTGTACAAGCAGCCCATCATTGACTGAAATGTAGTTTTGCAGCACATGACTATGTAAATACTCGGAAAAGAAATTTCTCTTTTTGTCATTAAATCCACAGCCCACCTTTATCTGAAATCTTAAATTCTGATTTCTCTATTATTACAGAAAATGAATTTTCTAAGTATTTTTTTATAAGGCCAGCTCTCCACTGGTACAACAAACCCCTTCTCTTGTCTACTCAAGTTCTTTTTCCTACAATGATCTCTTTTCTCTTTTACTGTATCATCAGTTCTCACCGATGTACAGGATTATTCCCAAGAGCAGAAAATATTATTTCTTACCTCCTAGAAGTTCCTTTCACTCTTTATCTATATCAAGATGCCACTGTATTTTTTATGGGTTAAATTGTGTCCCCCGAGAAGATATGTTGAAGTTCTAATGTATAGTAACTCAGAATGGGACCTGGTTTGAAAATAGGATCCTTGTAGATGGAATTAGTTAAGATGAAGTCATACTAGAGTAGGGTGGACCTTGATCCAGTGTGACTGTTATCATAAAAAGAGAGCCAGGTGGAGACATACAAAGACACACAGGGAGAACCATGTGACAATAAATACAGAAATTGGAATAATGCAGCTTCACACTAAGGAATGCCAAAAAAAAAAAAAAAAATGCCAGCAAATCACTAGAAGCTAAGAAGAGACAAGCCAGAGTTCAGAGGAAGTGTGATCTTCCCAGAGCTTGATTCCAGGCTTCTAGCCTCCAAAACTGTGGGTTAGACAGAAATTTTCTGTGTCCTCATCTACCCAGTTTATGGCATTTGTTATACCAACCCTAGGAAACCAATAGACCATCAGTTTTCCACTCCATACAAGATGATTTCCATTAATAGAAAATACATTACCTCTTATCTCTTGAAAGTCCCCTTAACCTGACATCTCTCTTATGCTAATACGCTGTTTCTTTGCTTCCTTTCCCTTTGCTTCCACTTAAGAGTCATTTCTTTTTCTCCAGTACTGGGAATCAAACTCAGGGACTCCACACACTGAGGGACAATTCTAGCCTTTCAATTTTTATTTTGAGACAGAGTCTTGCCAAGTTCCCTGGGCTGGCCTCAAACTTATGATCCTCCTGCTTCAGCCTCCTGAGGAGGCTGGGATCACAGGAGAGCACCCCCATGCCCAGTCTTGAGAACAGATTTCTTGAAAAAGTTGTTTACAATTGCTCTCATCATTTTCCCTTCCCCTTCTCTAATGCTTCTCACTTTAATCAAGGTCCCCACCCAACTCTCCTCAGAAGAAGCTATTTTTGTCAAAGTAATTAACTGTATTTTATTTTTCTACATAACAAAAATATTATATATTGGGGTCGGGGCTGTGACTCAGTGGTAGAGCACTTGCCTAGCATGCATGAGGCACTGGGTTTGATTCCCAGCACCACATAAAAATAAAAACAAATAAAGGCATTGTGTCCATCTACAACTAAAAAAAAATAATTTAATATTATATGTGTATTTTTAATGTAGCTTTTGCCTTTCTTCCTTGCTAGAAGCTAAGTTCCAAAAAAAAGAGGAAAATGGTGATTTTTTCCATCAAACTCCAGGCCTAGCACTCAGATGGGCCTCACTGAAAATGGATGAAATGCATTTGGTTTTAGATTTTTAACTGTTAGTAGTACATAAAATTTCCATTTGCATTTAAGCATTCTTTGTTTATGTGTGTTGAAAGTCTTTCAAGGATTTCGGTATAATTTTTCAGGAATTTAAAAGCTGCTAATATTTTCATGCTTGGTAATCATACATTATCTCTAATATTTTATCCTAAGTAAACCAGGATGTCTTTAAATTTTGTTATGTTATACCTTCCATAGCTACTAGCAGATATTTATCTTCATATTCATCCTATAAATTGGGGAAAGGAGGTATTTAACATCTGTCTTACAGTTGTCACATCTAAGTGAATAAATGCAAAGTGAGATAAAAGCTTTTGACTATTCTATCAACTTAATTTCCACTAAAATCCTCTATCACTAATGCATCTTATAATTTCATTGACATTCAAGATAAGTATCTTAAGATTATTATATTAAATGAGAAAAAGCATCTTCCTGGATATTAATGTGATTTTAAAATACGAAATGGGAAATTAAAGATGTTACATAAATAAATGCAATAATTGAAGATGTTTGCTCAGTTCGTGCTCTGAAAGGCAGCAGAAATTGAATACAATAACCTGAGTAAAAGGAGAATATTAAGGAGCACTGTTAAACATATTCCTAAAATGCATGTCTATAGTATGAATGGGATTATAATCATATTAATCTATGATGTGATAGTTCACAGTAGTGAACCATCTGTGTGCACATAAGCTTGTCTTTTCCACCTGCTCATTGCTTTCTTTATCAGTAGTAAACGGTAGCTTACTAGCAAGATAAGACAGCATAATATAGACGCTGAAACTTTGCTAACTCCAGGTATCAGAGACCATTTGTTCCACTTTCTAGCAAGGCTTCCATAGAAGAACAATATATGCTTTCTATATTTTTAGAAATGCAGTAATATAACAGCAGCACTGTGGTTCAGTACACAATTACATTTTGTTTGGTTTACACTAACTCATCTTTGAAAAAATCTTAACTTTACAAACGCAGCAGATTTAAAAAGTGTCAATGACAAAGATACATTGTATTTCACAACATACAAATTATTCATTTATTTTTGAGATAGGTTCTCACTCTGTTGCCCATACTGGTCCTAAACTCTTGGGTTCCTCTTACCTCAGCCTCTCAAGCAGCTGGAATTACAGGCATACACCACCAAGGCCAGCTAGAAATTATTTTAAATATATTTCTTCGTGCTTTCTTTTAATGAGATTATACTTCCACCCTTAGCTTCATTCACTATGACTTCTCTCTGCCCCCAAACTCCGCCCTCACCATGGCCCTTCCTCACATTCCAATCATGTTTTTTCCCATCATTTCCTCCTTTTAACCTAATCAAACAGATGAGGTGTCTCTACACCTGAGGCAAATTCTGTATCTCAGCTCTAGACCTTTCCTCTTCCTGCACCTCTAGCAATGTTCTCCTCTCCCTCCTGCACCCTTAACCCTTTTCTCTCCCATCAGTGGCTTCTCCCCAACAGCAGCCAACCCACACACCTCTCCACACTGCTCGGGAGCCACTGTCCTAGTTTCTGCCTCTCAGCCAAAGTGTCTACCTTCTTTTCAAAGATCAATCTCCTGGTGGTCTCCTCTAACTAGGTCTCTTGGCAGAATTTGACCTTGGCTGACCATCTGTCCTTGCTGGGGATTGAACTATGGGCCTCACAGGTGCCAGACAAGTGCTCTACCTGAGCTACTTCCCACCCCACCCCCAACTCCATTCCTCTTGAAACAGCCCTGACCTTGTCTTTACAAAGCTACATTTTCCTAGTTCTACTTTTTTTTTTTTTTTACATTTCTGATCAGTTAAATAATAGTACTATTAAAGGTTTGATTCCCTTCAAGCTCTGTTTTTCATCCTTTTTCCCTGATGGTACACATGCTTCTTGACCAACCTGATCTAATTCCTTCATGTCAATTATTACCTATTTGGGCTCTGTTATATCCCTGACCCTCAAACTCATATGCTGAAGTCCTTACCCTGAGTCCTCAGAACGTGATTGCATTTGGAGATATAGCCTCTAAGAGGTAATTAAGGTAGAATTAGATCATTTGAGTAGGCACTAATACAATATGACTTGTGTCCTTATAAGAGGAGGAGATTGGTACACAGACTCAGAGGAAAGACCATGCAAAGACACAAGAAAATGACCCTTCTCAGGAGAAGCAGAAATACCTGAGCAGAAATCAATCTTGTTTATAGCCTCCAGAACTGTTAGACAAGAAATTTCTGTTGCTTAAGACACCCAGCCAGTGATCCTGTTAAAGCAGTCCTAGCAAACGAATACACTACCTACGATTATGCCATAGCTCCTTAACTCATTCCTGTTATGTCAGCTCTGAATGCCAGATTATACTCTGTACTGGACCTCACCAACTGGATACCTCAAAAACATTCCAAGATTTCAACAGACCCTGGCTCCTCCTATGACCCGAGCCAGAAACCTGATCATTTTAGTGGATCCTACATGTGCCCACTCTGACTCTAGTTTCACTTTAAGAAGGTCTCAAATTTTCTGTCTCTGGGTTTCTCCAAGGTTTCTTCAAGATCTTGCTTAGCCATTCCCCAGTTTAAAGGAGCTGATGTGCCTGGAGGGAATCCTAAACCAAAGAGAGACAAGAACAGGGAATAAGGGCCCCGTCTGACAGTTCTAAAGAGCTTTTAACATCACTTCTCAGGGGATCCCCCACCAAAGGTCCTGCCCTAGTACTTTGCGGCAACAGATGTTTTGTAATACTCCCTTTATGAACTTTCTCACTTCCCTGACTCACTCTCCCCATTACCTCACTCTTACTTCCTGAGATCATCTTCTACAGCCCAGTTCTTGGCTGACTCACTCTTTCAAGGGGAACCTACAGAAATCCTGTCAATGGTGTTCTTTTAATCTTCTCTATTTTCACTGGCCATCCATGATCAGATACTGGTAGTTCTACTGTGGCTTTCAAATTGGTCTGCTCTCTTCAAGTGTTCTGTCTTCATCACAGACTTGGCCACGGTCAGCTCTTACCTGGATCATCTACTGTCTTCAAGCCCATCTCCCTGCCTTTCGAACTGCCCCTTACCAATTTGTTCTCCATAGAGAAACCCATGTGTTCTTTCTAAATGGACTGTCTGATCTTCCTGACTCATAAAAACCTTCAATGATTCCCCATTCTCTTTTGTGTGATGGCCTTAGGATTATTTTCAAGATCTTTCCTAGTTAAAACCTAATCTTACCACCCGAGTCTCATGGCTCATCTTCCCCACCTCTTATTTGCTATACTAATCATGTTGAGTTACTTTCAGGTCCCTGACCCACTATGCAGCCTCTCAACCCAGGGCCTTTTCACATGTTGCTGCCTTTTCTTGAAATGCTCCTCTGCTCTCTCTTTCTAGTTTAAATGTCACTGCCTCTTAACTTTTGATTAGCTGTTCCTCTTATATCTTCTTAATACATATTATGCGGTATTTTAATTATTTGTTTTTATGCATGTGTGTGTGATCCACTTGATAAATATTAAGGTTTTTCCTCCTATTATATTTACAAAACTTCATATATCTTCAATAGATATAAGTATATATTATCGCACACATTTATATACACATATACATATCTATACATATACATATATGGTACTTCATACATCTTAGATATATATTTCATATGAGTATTCCATAAATATTGGTATAATAATAAATTAATGAGTAAAAGAAAAATTATTTAAATAATGGTACTAAATATGTTTAACAATAAAAAAAACTGGCAAGCAAGTTTTCAGATCATACAGAAAGAGTTAAAGCAAAACAGAAGAAACTTTAATAAATAGAAACTCTATAAAAATCTAGGACAAAAATGTCATCTTTGGAAATGAATCTTTGCTACTATTACCACCGTCACCATGGATACACACCTACTCGGATTTTTAAAAATTTGTTACTTAGAATGTAATCTTTCAAGTTTATAATACAAAACAGACATTTTCAAATGGGAAAAATTAAGTCAGCTCCATAAATTAATGAATACTTTAAATGA